TTTACCAGTGTGAACTGGCAAGATGCACAATTCATGTAAGATAATTAAAATAAAGGAACTTTAATGATAGAATCATTTACATGCTGTATTATTTTCCTATGTCTGCCTTAACAAATTACTCTAAATGGATGATTTACAGCAACACAAAACTACTCTCTCAGAGTTCTCCTCACCAGTCTCCCAAATCACAGTGTGGTTGGGGACTTGCTTGCTCTGGTCTTTAGTGAAGAGTCATGCCCAGTCCCCGTCAGCCTTTGGAGTCCCTTGTCTTCCTTGGTGCATGGCACTATCACTCCAGTCTGTGCCTCCACCTTCGCATGATGTTCTTCTCTGATTTCTTCTGTTTTCTAAACTTCTTCTGCCTTCTGATCTTATGAGGGCTCTGATCCTTGGATTTGCTTCCTAACATGATGGTCTCATTTCAAAATCCTTATTGAAGTACACCTGAAAAGATCCTTTTTACAAAAGGTCACATTTGAAGTTCTAAGTAGAGATATATTTTGAGAGAATGCCWTACAACCCTCTCAAAATAGGTTTTGATAGTGAAAATTCTACAAACTTCTCATACTAAATAGATATCACCAAAGGCAGACTAGAAGCTACAATATAAGGGACTGAGGTTAACAGAGAACAATGAAATCTGAGTAGTACAGGAGGGAACATACTCAGGATTAAAGAGAYACGGTCTGTTATTATATCTTTGCATGGAATTTCACTGGAAAATCCAAACACACTATTGGAGAATAACACATTTATCTAGAAGAATGAGAAGATTAAAGAAAATTATCCCAGAACATGACCCTAAACACAGGTTAATGACACAGTTAACAATCTTTCATGTGCKACTCAGGAAGATTCTTGACTCCACAGTTAGCCATGAAAGGAAAGATTCATATTCAAAATAGATCTTTCAATTGAGTTAATTTGTTCTCTGGTTGTACTAAAACCCTCACCTAAACTCTATAAAACAAAGATTCCTGGATATAATGTGGATCTTTACTAAATATTAACTTCCATTATTTGAGAATATAGTAATAAAATTCATTTGTTTGGAGCAACATTAGCAAATTATTTCTGAGTTTTCAAGTCTTTGCCTTATTTTAACACCTTAGCTAGTAGTTTTCTCAGTGACACCATAATGTCTTTGTTCCTCAGAGTGTATATAATGGGATTCAAAGCTGGAATCAAAACGGTGTAGAAGAGAGAAATCAGTTTGCCAATTCTTTCAGATTGATTTGGTTTGGGTTGCAAGTACGTGATCCCAGCTGTTCCATAGAACAAGACCACAACYATCAGGTGGGAAGAGCAGGTGGAGAAGGCTTTRGCCCTTCCTCTGGCCGATGACAATTTCAGAATACTGGAGATGATTTTGCCATAGGAGGCGATGGTCAGCAGAAATGGAATCATGACAAACACCACTGCAACTACATAGACTGCCATCTCATTCACAAAAGTGTCACCACAAGCAAGCTTGAGGACTGGAGGGATGTCGCAGAAGAAGTGGTTAATTCTGTGAGA